AATTAGTTGCTTAGTTTTATTTTTTATCTAATTATCTTATTTATATAAAGGCCATTTGTAGTCAAAATTGGTCGTTTTAATTTGCAAGAAAGTTATTTCAGATTAGACCAATACTATGAATTATGAGTTGGTTGAGTTGTTTAGAACTAACTTAGTTATTTTCTGCAACACATAGGGATAGGCTTAACCTACAAATCATCTTTGAAAAATGGATTTTAATGGATTCTTGTTTTCAGTTCTGCATAGGAATATGTTTCAATGGGATCTGAGATAGTGCGTACTTGATTGTTGGAAAAAATTAACATCTAAAATTTTGTCCCATCAAATAAAAATAAATAAATAGTAATTCAAAAAATTGCATCGGTCAAATAATCAGAAAAAGGGGGTTTCACAACCCTTACCCCTTGTAATTTTTTTTTTTTATACAATACAGGGGCAAGGCCCCAAAAAGAAAACAAAAAAAAACAAAAGAAAAGAAGAAAATTTAAATGAAAATAAAGGAACTAATCAGGAGCAACAAGTCAAATCTGGCTGGAAGATCCAATAGCATCGTTGAGATCAGCTTCTGGACAGCCTAGTCAGGAGAGACTATCTCCAATGTACCCAAGGGGCAAGATAGAGCAGCCTTTGCAATCCAGTCGGCACAAGAATTACCACTTCTGACAACATGATTAAATTTGACATTCCAAGATCTATGAATAAGTGCTGGAATCCTAACCACTAAATGCAGTTCTCGAGCGTCATTACCACCAGGTACGGTAAGCAATCTAATAGCTTGAGAAAAGTCGCTCTCAACTAATAAATTTTTATAACCATGACACTACGCAAACTCTAAACCATTGTGAATAGCCCAGAGCTCAGCAAGGAAAGGGGAACAACACCCCAGAAAAGATTTAAAACCGCCTAGCCAATAACCATTATAGTCACGAATAAGCCCACCAGCAGCAGCTTTTCCATAAGACATAGACCCATCAACATTTAATTTTACCCAGTTAGGAGGAGGTCTAACCTAGAGTGAGGTACTAGAAGATGACATATATGCAGTCGAACCGGTCTGAGGCTTAGCAATAGATTGGTTAATATCATGAAGATATTTTAAAACTTCAGCAGAAAAATTCTCTGGTCTTTTAAAATCAGGTTCATGTATTTCCTTATTTCTCCAAAGCCAAAGGAACCAGCATCCAATGAAAAACAAACTTCTCCAATCTGCATGCCCTCCAACTAGGTGATTAATATTCAGCTTCATCCAATTCACATGATCTTGTTCAGTGAAGAAACCGTATGGAAGGAGGACCAGCTTAGTCCATTCCAAAGGCTTGCAGCAATTGGGCAGTCTCTGAAGACGTGTAAAGGATATTCTATTTTATCTTTGCATGAGACACATCTATCCGAGCCAGAACCCCAAAGAGCAGTTCTATTCCTGGTGAGCATTCTGCCATAAGACATCTTCCAAATTTGTAATTTATTTTTTTCTGGGCCCTTCCAACTCCATATCCTGCTCCAAGGAAAGTCAGTACAGCTAATAACAGATTTAGATATTCTAATATATGCTTGTTTAACAAGGGAAATGGATGGGTTGTAATCTTTCCACATTAAACTATCAACACCAGCACAACTAGAAGGGGGAGGGATGGCTGAAATAAGCTTAATAACATCATATTCAAAAAATTTAGAAATGAAATTTGAATTCCAAGTTCCTGTAATGTTGTCAACAACTTCAGCAACACATTCAGATAACAGGAGAGGATGAGGTTGATATTTAGCTACATCAATCAGCCTGGGAATCTCTCCAATCCAGTTATCAAACCAGAAATTAATTTTTTGTCCATCACCAACTTGCCAGACAAGGCCTTTCAACATGTTAGGCCAGATTTTGCAAAGATTTCTCCATAAATTTGAGTCATACGATTTACATGATGGGGAGCCAGTCAAATCCTTTTGTCTACCATACTTGGCAATAAGAATTTGAGTCTAGAGCTGACCAGGGGAGTTAATTATTGACCAAGCCATTTTATGCATAAAGGCTTCATTTTGTTTTTTTAGCCGCATTAGCCTGAGACCACCTAGATTCTTAGGGATACATATTTGTTCCCAAGAAATGACATGAGCTTTCTTTTTTGAATTGGAATCTCCCCATATGAATTTTCTTTGGAGCTTTTCTATGTCATCTCAAATTCCTAGGGGAATGATGCCACTTTGCATCTGGAACAAGGGGATGGAAGAGATGGCAGATTTTGCAAGAATAACCCTTCCAGCCATGGAAAGATTGAGGCTTGCCCTACCATTCAATCTGTTATTTACTCTGTCCGAGATATCTCCATAGAGGATTCTATTGACTCTGCCATGCTTCATCATAGCACCTAGGTATCTCCTAAGATTAGTGGTAGGAGTAAAACCACTAATATTTATTATTTTCTCAGTCATTTCAGCAGTGATATTTCTGGAGAAAAAAGTTTTTATATAAAAAAATTGCAAAATAAAAAGAGAAAGACAAAATGAAGTAAAATAACAAACTAAAGGAAAGTAAAGCAAATATATAAAAACTATTATGAATTCGCACAAATAATTAAAATAAACTTGGCTCCGACGTATCCTCCGGTGCAGTGAGGAATTCAAAGCTACGTAGTTCTTAAAAAATTATTTGTGTACTGGTTGGTTTTAATTTTTGAAAATAATTTTAAAGAAATTATTTTAAAGGCTTCGGATTACCAAGCTGTCACAACTAAAATAACCTGAAGAATACTACGAGATTAATAAGGCGTCACGCCAAAATTAATCCCTAATTATAAGAAAAACAATAATACAAAATAATAAATTTGAAATAGACTTGGGTCATCAAGCTGTCTCAACTAAAATGACCCAAAAAGCTAGGAGATTAACAAGACGTAACCCCAAAATTAATCCCTAAAATAAACAAATAAAATAATAAATTTGAAATAGACTTGGATCATCAAGTTGTCTCAACCAAAATGACCCAAAAAACTGTGAGATCAACAAGGCATCACGCCCAAATCAATCCATAATATAATTTCTAAGGTTTATAAGAAAACTTCTAATAAAACACGAAAAACATAAAATAATAGACAATTATAAGAAAATTTTTAACAAATAAAGAATATAAAAGCATACATAAAAAATAAAATTATTAACTAAAGAGGAGGTAAATGGACTTACCTCAATGATGATCAAAACTTGGTGTATGGAGCCAAGTCGTAGAAAATCCCCCCAAATTTCCTAGAAAGGAAAAAAAAGTAGAGAAAATTAGTTATTAAAATTTTACTACGACACTAACTTAGTTTTGAACCAAGCCAAAGTGTCTTGTATTTTGGGTCTCCAAGAGTGTGAGTTGGAAGGAAGGGGGATGAACTCTTTATATAGAGGGAAGGGAGGAGGAAGGAATGAGGAGTGAGCAATGTGAGACTACATAGGAAAATTGATTTTTTTCAATGTGGACAGTCATTTTGCGACAACCATATCTCACACTAAAAGGCTTAGCTTGAAAATCAGTTCGGTCATATTGAAGTATATGTAGCATTCCCTACTTCTAAATACAACTTGTGATGAGATAGCTCGACTACAACATAATTTTATATAGGTGATACGAAAACACATTGTTATCTTCAACTTATTTCATGAGACTAAATCTATAATTTGATGGCCTTTAGAGGTCTATGGGTAATTAATATGCAAACCCATAACATCACTTTCTTGCACAAGTCAGTACGAGGGTGTTTTGTCTAAGCTAGATGCTCTATAAGTTCAAATTTCCTTGGGACAATATGCTAGAAAGTGTTATTCTAAGCCGTTAATTGCATTGATTTGTTAATCGACAAGAGGTTCCTTCAACAACCGTTCAAATTGACACAGAAATATCAAAAAATTAACACATTATGCCTCTTGTTCAATTCATGATGCCAACCTAGGAAGCATCGACACGTGATTTCTTTAAAAAAATGTGTGTCAGACACGTGTCGGTGTTTGACATGCTCTGACATGCATCTGGCACGCAGTCAATATTTTGTGACACATTGACTATCTCGACATGCGATTTTGACCGTGTCTGACACAGCCAAGTGGCCAAAATATAAATTTTTGAAATTTTTATAAAATTAAAATAATTCTAAAAAAAAAAGACAAACCTCCAACTCACCGCATCATCTTCTGCAATGATCGCGAAGCTAGTCTTCCCATCCGATTCAAGGTTCACTTCCTTTGATCAACAAAGATGATGATTTTATTCTTCTTATTGTGAGTAACTTCACTTTTGAGCTGTGAAATAACCTGATCGAGAAAAGAAAAAGATAAACGACATTATACGTTAATTTATTTGATTTTGATTTTAAAAATTAAACATTAATGTCACCCAAAATATTATAGACTTTGTTTATTTTTTTTTGTAAGAGTAAGTTATTCTATCTATCATTTTTTCTGCTTATCTTTGTCTATCACTCTAAAACAGCATTAGATCAGAATCTTAACTAACATTTATCTTTCTCTCTTCTTGAGATTATGTTCTAACGGTGAGAGTGATAGACAAAGACAGACAGAAAAAAAGACAAGTAAAATAACCTATCCTTTTTTTTATTCATTTTTTTTTTCAAGAAAAAAAAAACTAAAAAGAAATATCTATCGGAGGCAATTCGTGGTACATAGCACAAAGCCACAAGTACTTGATCTTGATCGTGATATGTACGAGAATATTTTCGGGGGTTAGGATGTATTTAATTTTCGATGCATTACACGTGTCTTAATTTTTATTAAATTATTCTATTATCTGATTTTAAAATAAATTATTTATTAATAATTTGATAAAAATAAGATACATATCACAAGATGCACCGAAAATTCAATAAATCCGAAAACTCAACAAATCCGTAACACGAAGAAATTTTCGACATGTACGTCGCGTGCGATGGACAACAAAACAGATAATGCAGATTTGGATCTTCCGATTTGCTGAAGGATGGTATTTCAAAATAATGAAACTATGTGAAAGTAATGGATCCACATAAAAAAATTATGGAAAGTACAACAACAAAATCCAGATGCTCCAGTTCCTGCTACTAGTCTTCCACTGCTGCTGTGTGCAGAGTCTGCTAACAGAGTTTTCCATGTCAAAAAATAAAAAATAAAACATGAAATGATAAGAATTAAGAACCAAAATCATTCTCCTTTGGCAAAAAGAGCACTAGCCACATATAGCCTAGCCATTCTCTTGCAAAACATAGCTCTATTACCCTCTGAATACTGATTGAAATGAACACCAAAAAGCATGCCAAAGAAACTGAGGAGTCAATTAGCAAAAAAACAAAACAAACAAATTCTCTAGTTCTAACAAGGCAGAGGCACAGCACTGTCCATTTCTTATTCAGGGGAGTTTTAAAGTCCTAATCTGTCACAAGTCACAACCCAAGTTCATCCAAAGAGTTAGGTAACAAAAGAGAATTGAAATTAACAAAGCAAACTAAACTTAGCTAAGCTAAACTAAACTAAACTAAACTAAACTAAACTAAACTGAAACTGCTACATTTATCAACCTAGAAAATTATATACAGTCTCATTTACAAACATAACATTCCTTCTGGCATTCAAAGAAAGAAACTTGCAACCCAAGTAATGGTGAATGGTGAATTAACTGCATATATAGTTCAATCAAACACAATCACCATTGTCATCATCACCACCACCATCATCACCGTTTCCAACACTCTTCTCAGAGCAAACATCTCCACCGGCGAGATCATTGTCGAAATTCTCCAGCACCCTGCCACTGCCACTGCCACAGCCACCCCCACCCCCACCCCCACCCCCAAAACCATCAGTCTCCAAGCACAGAACTCGCCTCCTCAACTCACCCAATTCCATTTCGATAAGAAAAATCCTTTCTTTCAGTGTTAAATTCTCCACTTCCAGCTGAGCAATATGCGTGTCTTGTTCATCAACCCTGTTCTCCAAACTCTGCTCATCACCGGAAATTGGGTATATCATCTCAAATCTACTCAAATCATGGTCTAATCTCTTCTCAACCTCCACACGCTCGCTTCCACTGCCGTCAATTTCGTCGGAATCTTCATCAGAATCCCCTTTGCCGGACCGGAGCCGGATCAGGCCCTTCATTGAGCCGTAGCCGTCGACCCCCCACTCCTCCTTTGCCGTCTCGAACACCACCTCCGTCGATGGTGACAGCATCGGCGTCGGCAGAATAGCCGGCGTCACCGGGCACGGCGACACCAGCGACGCTATGCCGCCGGATTTCTTGGCCCGAATTATAAACGACGTCGTGTTCCTAGGCGCGAACGGGGCGGCGAGTCGCCCGAATTTCCTCTTCTGCTGATGGAACCGACGACCCTTGGAGCCGGAGCTGTTTGCCGCCCACGATTGCAACTCGCTCGGGTTACCGGTTTTGTAACCCGGACCCGACCCGATACTGTCTTTGCGGCGGAACTCCTTGCGCTTGTCGGATTTGTTTCCCTTCCAGTTGAGCCGACCCGGAGGATTCGCCGGCGGCCGAAGCGGCTGAGCATTGAACGCCGGCAGGAGAGGGAACACGGCCGGGTTTTCCGGTTGGTACGGCGGCGGTAGATGATGCCAAACGATGTAGTTTTGGTGGTTATGCAAGATCTGAGACTGACCCATCATTTGGGGCTGGTCGTTCATGGAGACCCAAGTCGCGAAACGGATTCAGGGCTCGGAAATTTCTGAAATTTCACCGAAAAATGAGATGCAGATAAAAAAAAAAAATGGGAAATTTGAAGAAACCCTAAATATCACTGAAAACGATAAAGGGTTTAAAGTTTTCTCGAGATTAATTGTTGTTGGCGCCGAGTAGAAAATGGAGTCTGAGAATTTGCAACAGAAAAGGAAAAACCAATTGCTGATTACATCATCGGCTATCTTGGGATTGAAGAGAGAGAGAGAGAGAGAGAAGGGGGCCAAGATCAACGATTTGATTTGAGTTTCTCTGAATAGAACGGTGGAGATTTGATGGCGTTCTTATGTGGAGAATCAGGTTCGTAGGGTTTGTGGAAAGTAGAATCATAGTGTAGTTAGTATTGTAGCGTAGATATGCCCTCATTTTTAGTTTCCGATAATGCCCCTGCCGAGTGCCCAGATATGCTGCAACTTGCTGAGACTGAAGTTGAAGACTTGCCTCACCAAAGTACACCACTTTTTTTTATGTGTTCTTTGAGATGTACTTGGGCACATTAGAAAGATGAATGTTCATTATGTCTGCTGGTTAGGTCCATTTTAAAGGGGTTAACCATGCTTTTTTGTCAATGAAATTCGCGTACAGGACATGTCCTATTGGGATTTATTTGTATTGCTTTTCAACTATATCTATGTCCTGTGAGTTTATAACTCAATCATAATATATAGGAAAAAGGACACACACTTATATCCTTTTAAAAGAGATAAAGAAATAAGTTATGAGAGAGAAAAAGTGTAGAGAAAATTTTGTAATTTAAAATTTAAAAAAATACATTACATTCATTTAAAAGGACCATCATTTTAAATGACAAACATTAAACTTTAAAATATATATATATATATATATATATATATATATATATATATATATATAGGAATTTCTCTTTTCTCATATTACATGAGATAACATCTCTTATGTTACAGACACAACAAGTGGTAGTTCCCACCACTTGTTAAAAAAATAAAAATAAAATAGCACAGATTTCAATGCCTCACAACATGAGAAAACAATCTCCAACAACATGAGAAAATAATTTTCCTATATATATATATATATATATATATATATATATATATGAATTATATTTTCTCATGTTCTTGGTAGCCAAATTTTCGTGGTTAATCCCTTCCCAAACAGCAATGGTTTTGGAGTTTTTTTCATGCCATGGAGATGTTGTTTTGAGTTCTCTTGGAAGAACACTCCTTGGTGCTTGTTTCTTTGAGTTTTTTTTTGTATAATTTGTTTCCTTGAGTTTTAGTGTAAGTCTCTTGAATCTTTTTCTTGAAAAATTTCACCTTTGAGTTGTGTTCTTGAGTTCTAACTTTGAGTCTTTGTTAAAAGTGTGTTCGTAGTGGAAATGATGCATCTTTGTTAAAGAAAAGTAGAAGCTTGAAGCCTTGGAGCTAACTTGAAGAAGTAAGCATGGTTACTTGGAAAAATTGTGACTAAAACTCTCCCACACCCACCAATATGATTTGGCCAACATGGGTTCTTTGTGGGATTGATGTTGTAATTTGATAAAAATGAGTTCTTGATGTTGGAAAGTGTGGAGAATCATGAGTTGAACCAAGGATAATGTTAAAAATCTAACCTTTAAGCTTAAGAACACTAATCTTGATTAAGGATGGAATTTAAACCCTAATGACACTATCATGTCAATTTTGCCCTAATGAGTATAATTAGGATTTTATGTTTAAAATTTAATTAAATAGTGGATTAGTGAACTAATTAAGTGTAGGGCTTAATTAATTAAAGAAATGGTGAAGTAGACAAGCTAAAAACCTTGTTTATAGCACCTAAACAATTCAGCCAATTAGGGATCAATTAGGGTTAGTATGTAAAAATTGGTTTAAGGCCTAATTAGGATACTAATCAAGGGTTAAAGTGAGGTGGATCATGCATAAAGGATTAATTAACTATAAAAACCCTAAAATGGACCTAATGAAGGTTTAGAAGCACTAATTATGTAATTAGTGAACCTAATGAACTAAGACCTAATGTGACTATGTGAGAATGTATAAGTGACCTAATAATAGAAAAATCCTAAAATTAAAGTGACTTGGAGTTCCTAACCAAAGATAATTAGGATTTGCTAATTAAACACACTTGGGGTTAAATGACCAATTTTTAGGCTAATTTTGTGAGAGCATATCTCCTTCCATAAAGGTTCAATAAGGATGTGCCATACATCATTTTGAAGCTTGAGATGTCAGATATGTGGTGTCAAAATTTGGTACCATTTGAAGATGTGTAACATTCTGTAGGTCTAATTGAGTCGAGACTGCCCAGGGAGGCCATGTGCAGGGGCTGTACGTGGTTGCATCTTCCACGAATTTTTTTCTACCTCATTTCTTACTCAAATTAGGCTCATTATATATCGAATTAAATCTGAAGGTGTCTAATTTGATGTATAAAAATTTGAGACAATTGGTTTAGTATATTTTCCAGAATCGCAGAAATGGTGAGGGATGTTTGAGGCTCTGTTTGGAGTTTGCAGACAATTTTTCTTGTCCAACTTCAAACGATGATAATCAGAGCTAGAGAATTCCAAATGAGTCATGTGATACCTTGTTGAAAAGGTAATTGAGTCTAGATTAACATACTAAAAGATGAGAATTTTATAGTAAGTGGGTTATGCATAGTGACTAGAAAATAGAAGCGTGTACAGTTATAGAAAAATCGTAAAAGTGAGATTTAGGCTAAATAGGTTTATGGGAACCCCTTAGTTACTTATAATAATTAATGTCCAAGGTTATGAATGACATATATTGATGATAAATGTCTTGATAGTTGTAAGTTAAGTGGAAAAGGCCTTAATCTAAGAGAGTTTATTAATGAACTAAGTGTCTAATGAATTATTGTGGACTTAGGGAACAAATGAACACCTTATGTACCCTATGTATGTCACAGCCATAAAGGAAATATATATAGCTAGGATGAGTTGAAAATAATACAAGTTATCTTAGTTGCCTTAGAGTGTAATTCCAAGTTGATTGAAGTGCTTAAATCACATAGTTGATTTTGTTGTAAGATAACAATTCCTTATGAACTAAAACTTGTAATTATGTAATTAATGGTCTAGACTTGTGTTGGGCATATTATTGGCATATAAGTATGGAAAGTGGAATCATTAAATGGTTAAGTCTTGTATATGACTTGATTAATTACTATGTAATGAATGATGTGAATAGTTAAGTCTTGTATATTTTGAAGTGTTGGTGCGTCATAGTGTCCCACACTCATTTTCATCTCTTTCTTGTCTTCTCTTTGTCTCCTTCCCCGAAGCATGCTATAACACCTCGTAATTCTAAAACATATAATTATATATAAAATATGGATTAAGAGGTAGGATTAGTAAAAATCCTGAGTTTTGGGTCAAAATACATAAGAAAGGTAAAATGGTAAATTGTCAAACATGTAACTCTAGGAAAGAAAATTTGAGTAGAAGGTTTCAAATAGGAAAATTAACCCTGTAAATGGATTCAGAACGAAAAATTGAGTGGTTAGGGAAATTTCTGGAAAAATGATGAAAAATATTTTTACCGTGTAAAAATATCGTAGTATAGTTGCACCGTAAAGCGTGTCGAATGAATTTTGAGCTCTAGATTTGGAAATAATTTATAAATGTTACATAGGCGAGGAATTACAATTTCTGGTGAAAATTGATTGAAATTAGGGTTTTTGGATAAGCGTGCCCACAGCGCGCATAAAGCTTAAAACTGTGATTTCACCGACCGACCGGAAAACTCCAGATTCATCTGATCAAGGACAATTAAAGGACAATGGTTAATGTTAAAAATTGGAATTTCTAAATAGTCTAGGAATAAATGGACGTTTAGTGAATTAATCGAAATATTTGAATTAATTTGAATCGCGTGAAGTGGCGGTGGGACCCACCCACTTAAGTTATAAGATGACAACTTGGCATTGTGGCACTATTCACTCATCTCCCTCCTTCCTCTCTTTCATCAACCCGCGACCATGGAGTCTTTTAGGGGAGGAATTCTTGTTGGATTTTCTTGGTGATTTAGCCATCAAATTCAACAAAGTTTGTCATCAAAGTTCAAGTAAACAATCATCCAAACACAACTATCCATAACCCTTGAAACTCACTAGATTGAGAGAAAATTACCACACATTACCACGAAAATTTGAGGAGATTTGGTGTTCTTGGGTTGTTTGATTAAGTCATTGCTTGGATATCACTTGGAGGAGTCTTAGGCCTTGATTGTGGGTAAGTTTTCACATTTTTCATTGGAAGAATTGGTTGATTTAAATTGTGAACCCTAGAGCTTGCTTGCATGAATTGAGGTAGTTGGGGACTTTAAATTGAAAATATACATTAGATAAAAGTGTCTTAGAATGATGTTTTATAGTGATTGAACTCATAAAAATTATTGATAAAATGTTTGGTAACAAGCAAAATTTGTGATGGAATTTCAAGACTTTGTGAAATGGCATGATTATAGGATTGTGTAATTGAGTTGCGGAGTATTTGTATGAGTTAATTATAGGATTGTATGATGTGTGGAAGTGTTGAATTGAATTTAAAACCCTTGAGTATGAATCGATGTAGAATTCGGCCATTGAAGGGAAGTAAGGAAATAATGATGTAAAAATTATGTAGTTGGTGTTGTGTGGTTGTGAATTGTGTTTGAATGGGTTATATGTTGGTTTGATGCATGTGGATTGGAAGTAGAACCAATGGATATGCCGAAGTGTAGAAAGTGGCCTAAAGAAGGATAATTGGGAAAAATAGTGTTGAATGGTAATTGAATGAAATTGAGGACATGAATTGGTGTTGTGGTAAGCTTAGGAAGCTAGTGGAACCTTGAAATAAAATTAAGAACACGGTTTGGTATTTATAGGTCATTTGGCTGAACCTATGCATTGTGGGGGGGCTTGTGATGCTTTGAATTTTGATTGGTTGCACCTTGTGTTGATGATCCTTGTGTGATCATTATAGGTTGCTTCCCACGGACGTGATCTTGGAACGGTGAGCTTGGTGGGTTGCCTTTGGTCTTTGACCAAAAGGATTGTGGTAAGTGGTTATGTAAAAATGCTTGAGTACTTGAATAACCATGTATATGTTCTTATTTGGTTGTATTAAAATAGGAATGACCTATGTGTAGGCATTTCTTGTTGGACCAAGCTCGGTGGTATTTGCTTTGGAGATACCTAGAGAGGGAGCTTCCATCAGGTAATCCCTTGGTACTGGAATTAGTCCCCGTGTGTGCTCCACCATGCCCTTAGGGGTAGTGGTTGGAGGTGTATGTTGATAATGTATTACAACAT